TTGTGGGCGCCCTGGGACCCCCGCCGCTCCTCGGACGCCGCCGCCTAGCCGACCCGGCCGGCCGTTCCTTGCATCCGTCGTGCTTGGTTGGTCCTCAGAGCATCACCTCCTCCCTTGCTCCCGGGTGCGCCTCACTTGCAACTCCTTGCCTCGCCGTTCGTACTTTGCCTCACCCATGGTTTTTAAAACTTTAATTCGTTTGGATTTTATCAGCATTTGCAGAAGAGAAAAAGATGGGAGGTAGACTATGGAGTTTAACGCAAGCGTTTCAGTTGATGTAGGCAGGTCTTCTTAGGAACCGGTACTTGAAGCACCTACTTTCTTAGTGATAACATTATTCGATCAGCTCCTGGGCTTCTTTGGAGAAGACAGTTTCCAAAAAGTTATTACTTCTTTCTGAATATCCTCCTCTGGAGTGAGTGCATACGGTATCTTCTACTGAGAAGAAACAGAACTTGGAGTTATTGAATTTTGCTCTTAGTATTCCAATAGTTAAACAATATTTGAAAGTTCTTTCGTTTAGCCAGCTTGAAAATTTAATGCCAATTGCTTTTGTAGTTCACCAGAGCAACTACTATGGTTACAAAAAGAGACTTCGTTACCCAATATGCCATTACATATATTAGATACTAAAACAGATTTATTTTTTATTGAGATAGAATTGATGTAACAGTTTCAGGTGTACAACTTGATTTAATATATTCATATGTTGTGAAATTATCACACAGTAAGTCTGGTTACCATCTGTCATCGTACATACTTACACAAGTGTTGTTTCTTGTGATGAGAACTTTTAAGATCTGCTCTCTTAGCAGCTTTCCAATATGTAATACAGTATTAACTATGGGCCATGCTGTACATTACATCCCCATGACTTACCTGTTTTGTAGCAGGAAGTTTGTACCTTTTGACCTGCCTTTCGCCTCTGGCACCCAGTCTGTTCTCTGTATATGAGCTCATTTGTTTATTGTTGTGTTTAAGATTTCTTAAGGTACTTGTCTCTGTCTGTGACTTATTTCACTGAGCATAATGCTCTCAAGGTCCATCAATATTGTTACAAATAGCATTTCCTTTTCATGGCTGAATAGTATTCCTCTGTGTGTGTGTGTGCATGCATGCAGACCACATTTTCTTTATCCAGTCATCATTCAGTGGTTACTTAGGTCATTTCTGTACCTTGGCCATTGTAAATAGTGCTGCACTGAACATAGGGGTGCATACATTTTTTCCAGTTATAGTGGTTTTATTTCCTTCAGATAAATACCCAGAAGTGGAATTACTGGATCATATGGTAGTTCTTTTTAAACATTTTTGAGGAACCTCCGTACTGTTTTCCACAGTGGCTACACCAGTTTACATTCCCACCAGCAGTTGACGAGGGTCCCTTTTTTTTCACATCCAGGCCAGCACTTGTTACCACTTGTCTTTGATGATAGCTATTCTAACAGGTGTGAAGTGGTATCTCACTGTAATTTTGATTTGCATTTTCCTAATGATTAGTGATGTTGAGCACCGTTTCATGTAGCTACTGGCCACTTGTATGTTGTCTTTAGAAAAATACCTGTTCACATTCTCTATCCAGTTTTTAATCAGCTTGTTTGGGATTTTTTGCTGTTGAGTTCTTTATATATTTTGGATATTAACCCCTTATGAGATAGATGATTTACATATATTTTCTCCTATTCTGTAGTTGTTTATTTTTGCTTCCGTTGCCTTTGTTTTTGTGTCAAGCACAAAAAAATAATCACCAAGACCAATCTCAGGGAACATACTGCCTATGTTTTCTTCTAGAGGTTTTATGGTTTCAGGTCTTATGTTCAAGTGTTTAATCTAATTTGAGACAGTTTTTGTGTGTCATGTAAGATAGTGGTCCAGTTTGATTCTCTGGCATGTGATCATCTGGTTTTCCCAACACCATTTATTGAAGAGACTATCCTTTCCCTGTTGTATATTCTTGGCTCCTTTGTCATAAATTAACTGACCGTATATGGGTGGATTAGATTGTGGGCTCTCTATTCTTTCTTATTGATTTATGTGTGCCAATACATACTGTTTTCATTATATAGCTTTGTAATATGGTTTGAAATTGAGGCACATGATGCTTCTAGCTTTATTCTTTCTAAAGATTTCTTTGAATTCTGGGAGTCTTTTGTGGTTCCATACAAATTTCAGGATTGTTTGTTCTATATCTGTGAAAAATGACATTGAAATTTTGATAGGGATTGTGTTGAATCTGTAGATTGCTTTACATTGTGTGGACATTTTAACAATATTCTTCCAGTCCATGAGCACAGAACATCTTTCCATTTATTTGTGTCAGCTTCAGTTTCTTTGATGAGTGTCCTGCAGTTTTCAGGATATAGGTCATTCACTGCCTTGGTTAAATGTATTCCTAGGTTGTTTTTGTTTTTGTTTTTGTTTTTGAAGCAGTTGTAAGGAGAATTGTTTTTTAAATTTCTCTTTCTGATAACTTATTAGTGTATAGAAAACCAGCGGGTTTTTGTGTATTGATTTTATATCCTGCATCTTTACTGAATTCATGTACTAGTTCTAACAGTCTTTTAGTGGAGTCTTTAGGGTTTTCTATATATAATGTTGTGTTATCTGCAAATTGTGACAGTTTTATTTCTTCCTTTCTGATTTGGATGCCTTTTATTTCTTTTTCTTACCTAATTGCTTTGGCTGCAACTTCAAGTACTATGTTCAATAAAAGTGGAGAGTGGACATCTTTGTTCCTGATCTTGTTCCTGAAAAGGTTTTTAGCTTTTCTCCATTAGGTATCATTTTAGCTGTGAGCTTGCTGTATATGGGATTTATTATGTAGAGGTACAATCCCTCTATACTCTGTTGAGTTTTGAATCTTAATGGATGTTGAATTTTTCAGATGCTTTTTTTTTTTGCATCTATTGATATGAGCATAAGATTTTTATCCTTTAGTTGTTAATGCAGTGTTTCACATTTGATGATTTGTGAATATTGAACCATCCTTGTATCCATGGAATAAACTGATTATGGTATATGATCCTTTTAATGTATTGTTGTATTAAGTTCGCTAATATTTTATTGAAGATTTTTGCAATTATGTTCATCAGGAATATTGATCTGTAATTTTCTCTTCTTGTTCTTTTCTGGTTTTGGTATCAGGATAATGCTGACCTTGAAAATGAGTTTGGGAGTGTCCCTTCCTCTTTATTTTTTCAGAAGAGTTTGGGGGTTGGTGTTAATTCTTCTTTAAATGCTTGGTAGAATTCATCAATGAAGCTGTCTGGTCCTGGACTTTTGTTTGTTGGGAAGCTTTTGATTACTGATTCAGTCTCCTTACTAGTAATCAGTCTGTTTGGATTTTTCCATTTCATAGGTCAGTCTTGATAGGTTGTATGTTTTTAGGAGTTTATCCATTTCTTCTGGGTTGTCCAACTTGTTGGTGTATCATTGTTCATGGTAGTCTTGTATGATGCCTTGTATTTATGTGGTATCAGATTTTCATTGAATAAAGTATTCTAGTTTAAAATATGCCCCCTTCCTCTTATCTTTTATCCAGTTTCTCCCAGAGCTTGCATGGATCTTATCCCATACTAAGTTCCAAATCTGTCTAACTTCTTCCGGTCTTGGACTGGTAGTTGCAATGTTTCAGTTTCTACTTGTCTCAGGAGTCTTAGAGCTGGAACTCCTGTGGGATGCTCCTTAAGGTTCTTCACAATCTAGACCCACTCTGTTGTACCAGTTGCATCACTTGCAGTGGGTTGAATGGCAGCTGCCATGAAGATATGTCCACATCCTAACCCATGGAACCTGTGAATGTTACCTTATTTGAAGAAAACAAAAATCTTTGCCAATGTAGTTAAGAGTTTTGAGACAAGATTGTTATAGATCTGGATAGGTGCTAACATCACTATCCTTATAAGGTACAGAAGATGACACACACAAGGAGGAGAAGGACATGAATAGAGACAGAGATTGGATTGATGTAGTCACAAGCCAAGGAACACCTGAAGCCTCCAGAAGCTGGAAGAGGCAAGGAAATGTTCTCCCCTGCAGCTTTTGGAGGGAGTATAGTCCTACCAGTATCTTGATTTTGAACTTCTCCAGAACTGTGAAACAATAAGTTTCTGTTATTTTAAGTCACCAAATTTTGGGTAATGTATTACAGTAGTCATGGGAAAGTAATTTGATTTTGTACCTTCAGGTTGGATGCTACTGTAACAAGTACCTAAAAATGTAGAAATACCTATTGAATCTAGTAGAAGCTGGAAGAGTTTTGAGAAATACGGTAGAAAATGCCTAGATTACCTTGAGGAGACTGTTGGCAGAAACATGGACATTGAAGATGATTCTCGTAAGGACTTAGAAGAAAGTGAGGAGCATGATAGGAAAAGCTTCTATCAGCTTGGAGAATACTTATATTATGATGAGTGAAATGTTGATAGAAATATGAACATTAAAGGCACTTCTGGCAAGGGCTTAGAAGGAAATGAGGGACATGTTATTGGAAATGGAGGTGACCCTTGTTATATAGTGGCAGGAAGCTGGCTGAATTGAATTCTATAGTTGTGTGAAAAACAACATGTAAGTAATGTACCTGGTTAGTTAAGAGGATTTCCAAGCAAAGCATTAGCAGTAAATCACCTGTTGTCTCCTTGTTGCTTGTAGTAAAATGCAAGAGGAAACAGAAATTGAAGAAGAAACTGGTAAGGAAAAAGGAAGCAGTCTTTGGTAATTTGGGAGGGTCTCAAGCCTATTCAGATTGCAAAGGGTGCTAAAATTGGGGAACTCAGTGTTGGGAATGCATGCTCTGTAAAGCAGGCCAAGTGTGTGGCTGGATACCTTTTGTTGTATAGGTAAGGTGTATTACTCGTGGATCCATTCAATTATCTCAGCAGAAGCCAGGAGTAAAGAGGGGCTTATTCAGGAGAAGGATCTGTGGAGGATCCTTGTGTAATGGCATGACCCTGGTGGGATACACAGGAGAACCACAAGGATTTTGATTGTTGCACCAATAGAAATACTGCCAGTTTGGCTCAAAAGGGATAGAGACACAATAAAATGAGGGAAGCCTTCCAAAATTCTATAGGCAGGAAGTTGGCTGGTAGAACTACTTGCCTGCAAATGTGCTACTCTTCAAGAAAAAGGAAGAATGACACTAAGGACAAAGCCATGGCAGTCAGCACAGAGGATGGAGCAGTAAGACATGGGGTTATGCCCAGAGCTTGAAAACTGATAGAATCTTCTGCTGAACTTTGAATTTGAGGGGGGACTGATGGCTCATTTTCATTCTACTTTCTCCCTTTTGGAATTGTAATGTAAGACTGTATTTGGAATTTGGAATACCTATCTCACCATTGCATTTTGGAAGCATATAATTTGTTTTTTAGTTTTACAGGTCCACGTATGGAGAAGAATTTTGCCTCTGTATGGATCATATAGGGCCTCACTCATACCTAATGTAGATGATTCACATGATGCGATTTGAGACTTCTGATGATATTTACATGAGATTTTGGACTTAAGAGTTGATGTTAAATTGGGTTGAGATTACATTGGAGGATGCTGTGATAGGGTGAATGTATGTGGTACAAATGTGGATTTGGGGGAACCAGAAGGTGGATTGCAGTGGCTTAAATAGTGCTCCTCCCAAAAGATAAATCCATGTCCTAACCTCTGGATCCTGTTGTGTTAACCCTGACAACACCTGGAATCCAGACTTTTGAACTCTAGAACTGTGAGAGAATAAATTTCTCTTGTTATAAGCCACTAAGTTTGTGGTAATTTATTATGACAGCCCTAGAAAAGCAGTATGTCGCTCTACTAGAATTCTTTCCTCATTGGTACCTTATTTGTGGACATACCATATTACTCTCTTTGCCGGGTCATTTCCTCTGATAAAACTAATGTTTTTCTATTATGTTCTCACACCAGTTGGTCAGTTCTTCCCTAATAATTCTTATTTCAAGTTATTATGTATGCTAATCTCTGTTGCTTAAATATGATGTTCAGGAGACCAGAGTATTTCTTATTCATATTTATTTTTCAAAGGGACAGCGCACAGAAGTAGGTACTCAGTAATGCTGATTTGATGGTAGCGACCTTATATAAGGTAGTGTATACTTCAAAGCACCATCAGAGTTACCTGTACAATATAACTGACCTGTGAAAACTGGCCTTTGCTTGGTTAATCCAGATAGGATGCTCAGTGTTCTCTCATGCACCTGCTTGTCCTATTGTGAATAAATATAAATTGTTAGTAGGTCCTTTATTATATAAACTAAAATCTTTTATCTACTGGTCTGATTTATCCTTCTGAACCAAATCTGTTTCTTCTTTGTGACAGTGTAGCAGACTGCAAATCTGTAGTTTCTTTATTTGGTTTTCTAGACTTCATTATTCTGCTCAACTTCAGGTTTTTAATGTTTTTCTTAAATCAGAATTTTAGAAAATCGAAGAGGTTGAGGGGAGTAAGTGGAAGAGGAAGAATTGAAGAGCATTAAGTAGATAGAAGGAGCTTGGGAGATAGAAAATTAAATAAGAGCTTTCTTTTGGGAGGCTAGGCTCAGTTTTTTTTTAATTTAAAGCATTATTCTTGGGAATTTCTCTTACTGTCCCTATCAATCTATGTATGAGTATATTTTAAAAGTATATCTTATAGTCAGCCTAAAAATTTGAGTGCCTGTTTTGGGCATGGCCCTACAATGGGCACTATATGGGGAACAAAGATGAGTAAGTTATGTCCCCTACCTAAAAGCATTTATAATTTAGTATGTTTGCTAGGGATGATTATAGGCTGATGAGGCTAAATTTTTGCAACACGTATAATGTAACTTACATATCTAAACTGTATTTATTCCACTGGTGGTATTCTTGCTGAAAATATTTTTTGGAATAACACTTAAAATTACTGTCATGTTCTTTAGTATATGTAAAAAAATCCACTATAGAAATAATTTTTTCCTCTTTTTTAGGATTTCGGGGGGAAAACGTTATTTGGAGCTCAATCTTGTATAAGACAAATGAACAAATTGGAAATGCCAGAATTTAGGGTTTTTTTCCTTTTTTAAACTTTGACCAAAGTAATATCTTTTGGAAGGTGAGATTCTGATTTAGGTACTGTCTTCTCTAAGAGTAATGATGAGTTACTGGCAAATTGCCCCTGAAAGTAATTCAAAAAGAGTTCCAAAAGTGTTTAGAGCAGTACTATATTGAGAGAATAAGTGTTAAGCGGATACTTTCTTAAGGTGATCACTTTGAAGGATCATACTTGGATGCATAAATTCTGGCATATGGAAGAAGTCTTACCTATGGTTGTTCAATGTATGAACATGTCAGTAGTTGTGTGGTCAAGTCAGTTAGCTAATGTGTTGCTCTCTACTTTTCTAAAGGTTTTACTTTTATATAACATTCTATTGCCTTTAAGTTATACTTCTCAGTGGTATTTCATGTGGAAAAAATAAATTATCCATTTTTTCAGTGGTAACTAATAAAGAGGAAAGGCCAAAAGTAATTTCCCATGCAGTCTTTTCCAGTCATGACTATACTATTGTAGTTAAGAATGATACTTCAGGTAAGAATCATCGATTTGTTCTCTTTTCGTATTACAGTAAATGGAAATCAGTAACTTTAACTTTGTGTTTTTACCCTAAGTTGTAATTCGGTTCTAAAATATAGTTTATAGTATCAAGCCATTTTTCATTTCCATCTGTCAACTGATTACTTTTATTTTTTTTAACAGTGAATTTATGGCAGAAGAAAGTAATGAAAAATTTTGGCAGTTTTTGGAAACTGTACAAGAATTAGCAGTTTATAAGCAAACAGGTAGGTGATGTGCATATTTCAACTTTTAAGGTCTGTGTTCATATGCCTATATTAGATGTTTATTTTTTTTAATGGTAAAGTTTAAGTGTAAATGCTTAATTGGGTTAGTAAATCTGAATATTAAATTTGAGAAGATGTTTTAATGGAAACTATTCCAAGCATCCATTTTCAAAAATATAAGGCTTTAATACTTTCATTGTAAGAAAATATGTAATTAGCATTGTTTGCATATTCCATTATAGTCAAGAAGAAATAGAAATTGTGGAATAATGAGGTTTTTTTACCTAAATTTCTTTGAATTAGTATTCATCTTACATGTAGTAATATTGAAATTTTTTGCCAGAATATTTTTACTCCTGAACTCTTAAAAGAGATTTTTAATACTTACCCTTAACAATCCAGGTAACCTATGTGCTTTCATTTCACCATTAGAAAATGGGGTTAGTTATTCTTACTTTGTTAATATGTATGAGAGTATCTATCTATATATATACGTATTCTAACTCAGTTACTTATAACTGAGAACTGGGTCTAGGGTAGGAAAATAATTGCTTGAAGATAACCCTAGGGTAGTATTTGGGAGTTATCAACGTCAAGGAGGTAGTTGAAGTTATAGGGAGAAGATACAGAATGAGTAGAAATATGGTCCCAAAGGTAGAATCCTAAAGAACACCAGTGTTTAAGAGATTACCAGAGAAGAGCATGTGGCGGAGACTAAGGAGTACCAGTAGAGGTAGAAAACCTAGTGTGATGTCTCAAAAGCCAGGGGAAGTGTAAGTGGTAAGTGATAGATGTTATCAAATACTAAAGACAGATCAAGTAATATAAATACTAAGTTTTTAACAACAGAAAAATTAGTGGTGACTTTAAGAGCAATTTCACAGGTATAGTAATAAAAAGTACAGCAGGTTGAGGAAGTAGAGAGAAATATTAAGTCTTTCAAGACTAACTATGAAGCGAATAAGACGAATCAGTCAGTATCTGTGGAGACTGCTGCCGCTTTTTTTTTTAAAGATGAAAATGATTCATGTATATTAAATGTCAACAGGCAAAAATTGAGTGAAAGGTGAAGCTGAAGATGAAAGATATTGAAAGGGCGAAATAATTATCAACATGTTAGTTGGTGAGCATGGATTTAGTTATTTTTAAACGTTAGCTAAAATAGTCCAGCACATCCATGATTAATTACCTTGCAGGTTAAGCCTAAGACATATGTTTACTTTCTGTAAACCCCTGAATCCTACATCCTTTAATGTATTAGAGACAACCTTAACAGTGACCTTGACGGAGTTTGATGTCTTTGGTCAGGCACCACTCACATCTGTTTTCTGTTGACTCCCTTCTCTGTTTTCATTGATGACCAAATCCCATTTTGACTGCCGTAGTCTTATTTTTGACATGTTACTACATTAATTTCAGCTATATTCTTGTTGGCCCAATAACTATTGTATCTTTTATCTCTTTTGTGTTACTTTTGCTATTGAAGCTGTGTCTTGCATTTTTTGTTTTTGATTCTTGCGGGGAGCCTCACCATAACTTCCTGAGAAATCACCTATAGTTGGTTAAAGAAGTAGAAGTGAATGAGCAGACCTACTCACATATGATGACTATTTAAAATTACTGGATTAGGAAAGTATTATTGCCCAGAGTAAAGAGATCTACTCACTTCTTAGATGTTAATTCCAGAAATATGTTAAAATACCTATTTTGTGTGCCAAGAGTAGAAAGTTACAATTGAAAGGCAAGAAAAGATTCCTGCCTTCACAATTTAAAGCCTAATAGGAAGGGCAGCATTAAGCAAATAATTAGACAAATAATTTTTATTAACAGTTTTGAGAATTGATCTGGAGATAGTATAGAGTGCTGTGCTATTCTTAGTCTCCTCTTTAATTGTAAGTAGGGGCTGTATCTTATCCAGGTATTACAACTTCACAACCTTAGAGTGAATTGGTCTGATACGGTGGAGTCTTTCGAATAGATTTTAAGGAGATTATTTTCATATAGACTTGTGATAGTTGTTTGGACTTTACTGGAAGATCCAAATGAAGTAAATAATAAAACAGAGATCTTAATTTTCACTTTTGCTCCAACACGGTCCATAACCAAACTTGAAATATGATTATATGACATTAACTAAGTTAGCTATACAGTGAGAGATGTGCCAGTGTATTGAATATGAAATACTAACATCCTTTTCTTTTGAATTATTTTTATAGAGTCAGACTATTCTTACTACAACTTAATCCTGAAGAAAGCTGGACAATTTTTAGACAATTTACATATAAATCTCTTAAAGTTTGCTTTCTCTATAAGGGCATACTCTCCAACTATTCAGATGTTTCAGCAGGTATGTAAAAATGCCAAAACAGTATTTGACAAAGAAGCATGCTAGCTGTGTACATAAATCTGTCTTAATGTGAATACCTTTAGTTCAAAACGATCTATAAACTTGTAATACCTGGTTCCATAGCCTATCATTGGTTATGTTTTCACTGTTACCATTGATTATAATATAACTGAATGTTACGTAACTTTATAGATACTAGGGATAAGGAAATTATGAGGACAAATGACCATGGAAATGAACTATAACAAACATTTTAATTTAAATGGAACTTTAAAAACAAGTTCAAAGCACGTATTTTCTACTGTAAAGGATTTTGTTAAAATGTTTGATTCTGCCTGCATATAGATACTTTTACTTTAATTAGAGCAATAATTTAATAGTTGCTAAGTTGTTTTAATCAAAATAATGTGTGACTTTTTAAATGATATTGTAATTATCAACTACCGTAGCTAAATACAGTCTTTGAAATCTTAGATTGCAGCTGATGAGCCCCCACCAGATGGTTGTGATGCATTTGTGGTTATCCATGAGAAACGCACCTGTAAAGTTAATAACATTAAAAAGCTGCTAAAGAAGGCAACTTCAAGGTAAATTAATGATAGCCTACACTACACTTTCACTAAAGAAGTGGTTTATAAAGAGATGAGAGTTGAAATAGAAATTTCTTATAATAAAACATTTTAATGCTTTAAGACATTGTATATTAAAGAATGTGCTCTGAATATGAGTCTTAAGTCCTTTTCTAAAATATATTAAGTACTTTCAATATTTTTGTCTCAATAAGCTTTTGATCTTAGAATTCCAAAATACCATAAAATATGAGATGTATATTTTATATAAACATAAATTGTTTTTTCAAATACAGGCATTCCTCAAAGATATTGTGGGTTCAGTTCCAGACCACTGCAATAATGTGAATACTACAATAAAGCTAGTCACACGAAGGTTTTGGTTTTCTAATGCATATAAAAGTTATGTCTACACTATACTGTAGTCTGTTGAGTATGCAATAGCATTATATCTTTTAAAAAGTACATACATTAATTAAAAAATACTTTATTGCTTAAAAGTGCTAACTATCCTCTGAGCCTTCATCAAGTCTTAATCTTTTTGCTGGTGGAGGGTTGAACTATGGAGAGAATTTCAAAAATATGACACAGAAACAGGGAGTAAGCAAATGCTGTTGGAAAAATGGCGCCAATAGACCTGCTCAACACAGGCTTGCTAGAAACCTTCAGTTTGTTAAGAACGTAATCTCTACAAAGTGCAATAAAGCAAAACACAATAGAATGAGGTTTGCCTATAAGCACACAAAACTGGATTTATCTGAACTATATCTCTTTATAAACTGAATGTGTACCTTGGGAATAAAAAATTAATAATAAAAGTAATACAGAGTTGCTTTTTTGTAATGCATTGTTCAAAACTTTTTCCTTCTTCCAAGTATTTAATATAAATGAGTATGAGAAGTAGCAAGAAAATGCAGTAGTGGTTTTTACAGAGTGACAGCTACCAGTGTATGCTTTACTGCCTGATTGTTTATACTTTAAAAATTGTTTAAGTTTCCCTTTATATCTTAAACAGTAATATATATTGAGTAATTTTATGTTAGTGCTTCTCTTATTTGTTGGAAACCTTTTCTAATATCTTCTTATATTTCATATTTTAATATACATAAGGCTTTTATTTTTATGTAGCCAAATTTTTCCTTGACGTGTGTGTTTTTATACTGACACAGTTTTTCCCTAACCAGAGTGAGAGATTTTACTCATGTTTTCCAGTAGCTTTCTTAAATTTTTTATTTTACCTTAACCTTTTGATCTATTTATGAATTTTCATCAGGAGGCAAGAATTCAATCAGATCTTTTCCCCTCAGGTGGCTAGTCAATTATCATATTCATTATATTTATATTATGGTCCTTTTCATAATGATTTGTTGTATACTGTTACGTTTTTTGTAGCAGTATCATGCTGTTAGTATTTATTGCTTTATAATTTATTCCAGTGTCTCACAGGACAGTTTCCTCTTCATTGCTGCTTTTTTTCCTCCAGAATATCTTAGCTCCTTGCTCTTGTTGATGCTTTCAAACTAACAGTAGAGTCCTTTTTCTCCTGCCAGATTACCTCCCTAAAAAGCCTTGGTAGGTTTTTAATTAGAATTGTGTTAAACTTACTAGTTAATTTTAAAAGAAGTTAAATATTTATTATATTGACTCTCTCAATGCATTTCATAGTATGTCTTTCATTCCTTTTAAAAATTTAAAGTTTTATAATTTTCTGTGTTTTTAAAATAGGAAATAATTGTTTCGTTTTATCAATTGTTTTTCATCTATTGAGGTGAATTCAAAGTTTTTGTCTTTGAACATACTGTATATTATGGTAATATATTTTAAACTATTATACCTTATTTGTATTTCTAGAGAAAACTGTTAATGGTTTAGGATTATCTTAATTTTTTGAATTAGATTTCTTATGCTTTTATTAAGACTCATGTTTCTATTTTAATGAGATTAGCTGTTATTTAAACTATTTCTGCCATTTTTAATGTCATTCTACCTTCGTATAGTGAATTAGGCAACCGTATTATTCTGTAAGAGTTAATATAGCATAGGAATTACCTGTTCCTTTAAAGCATTAATAGACTGACTGTGAAATTGTCAGCCCTAGTGTGTTTTTATCTTTTCCTAGAAAAGAAAATTTTAAAGGCCATTCTGGTAACTTTTAAAATTCATTATTATTACTGATTTCCAACTTCTGATGTCTGACTTTATAATTTCTCATAGAAACTAATATTAAATTGAAATTAAATATTCAAAAATTAAATCTAAAATTAAATTAAGATTATAAAAATATTAACATCACGTTGCTGAGAGAAGCAACCTACCATAAACCCTTTGAGTCCTTGCATGTTCTTTCTTGGTCTCACCAGTAAAAAATGCGAGACCTGTACCGCTCTTTACCTGAGCCATTTTTCAGGGTTGTATTCACAGTGATCATGTTTCTTTTTGGAAAGAAGAGTGGGCTTGCTTTCTACTTGTTATAAAGTGGTGGTTCCCCAAGTACAGTGTTCCTCAGCTGCAGCGTACCCCACTGTTTGTGTAGTATCCATTTACGTCCGTATTTTGTCGCACCGTGCTTTGTGGAACTTGGGGGAGAAGTATAATGCTTACACTACTTGCTATGCCGTGAGCAGTAAAGTCCTTTGTCTTTGACCCCAGAGTCTCATGTCTTTTGCCAGAATCCATGAAATGATAAAAGCTTAATTAATTACTTTGTAAGTAGGCTAAAACCAAGCCTTAGACTTTTTACAGTTCTTGACAGTTTTAGAAACAGGAGTGGGATGTTGATAAACACATGGCTTTCTGGAAGAGGAAGGACAGGGGCCCCCTGAGTTGGGGAGACAAAAGCTCAACGCTTGAATTTCAACGCTTGAATTTCTCTCCGACTGCCCCGTTCTCTGTCCCCTGCCACTCTGCTGTGCTGGCTGGGTGATAACAGTCTTCACATACAATTTTTGATCTTTATTCTTCAGGAAAAGGCACCCAAACTCAAGATGGGGTTTGGAAGGCACTCATAATGGAGAAGGGAATTTAAATGATCTCTATATCAATTCAGTGTACTTCCATTGTTTTGACTCCCGCATCTGAATCTATAACTGGCCCTGATACTGTTCATGTATGTACTTTGAATGCTCATGAAATCTAAAAGGAGATACTCTCGTTCGGGAGACCACCACACGAACTGTCTACTCCCAGGTGGTCCAGGAGAAACAACATAGAATCCCGGGAGGAAAAGGGAAAGATCACAGCTTTAGTTACAGACTGAATGGCTGCTTGAATGCCCAGAGAGGCAGTTTCCAGGTTCAACAGCGCCACCTGCCTGACTCAGCTGTCAAGTACACCCCTTTTTAAAAAGAAATTTAAATTGCTACCAAGCTTTCGTCGTAACTGAACACCTGACTCAGGAAGCCTTGGGACTCTAATGTCTGGTGTTTACATTTTGGCATAGGTCAGCTGGGACGCGAGGACTAACACTGTGGAAGGGACCCAACTAGTCTCTCTGGTCAAGTGGAAATGGTATATTCAAGAGCAGTTACTTCGACCTAGCGTGATCTTAGGGTGACATGTTCAAGTGGCAGCAGTCCCCTTTTGGGAGAAACCAGATGCCTCGTTCCACTACCTGAAGTAAAACTTCTGGCTCAGTGGGGCCCCCATTTCAGTTGTTTCCCTTGGTGCCTGTGTCAGGTTATACATTGAGCCGAGTTAAAAGCTGGTGGTGTCCTGGGCCTGCTGTTGCTGTTCATCCAGGCTGCAGCTGCATAAACCCAAAAGCACATGTGGTCACTCCATTCACGGGCAGAACGCAAGGCAGTCCTCATACCTCTGATGAATCCCTGACCGCTTAATGACACTTGCTACACTTACACTAACCCTGGGGCTGTTGCCAGGGGCCTGCCTGGCTGGTCTGCCACTTGGGAGACAGCACCTGGCAGATCAGAGGCACCACTCCTTGGGGCTGTACGCTGCGAGAGTAAGCTGCACCTGCCCATCTGACAGTCTGGGTTGTTTGTGGAGATGCACACAGTCCACAGTGTCTAATGAGTCCAAGTGGAACCGAGCTGCATATCCAGACCGCAGCATCCAGATTGCCGCCGCTGTTTCCCCGATCCACCACTGCACAGGAAGTGCGCCATTGCAGACGGGGAGCTCAGTAAAGGACCACCTGTTTCTGGTGTGAAATCTACCACAGCATACCTGACTTGTGACTTCTGCCCAGACGTGGTTTATTTGTCTTGTGGTAAAGGAGGCCACGTTGCACAGGGCCCTCTCCTGCTCCTGGCAAACTGACTGTGTCAGACCTTTGACCTTGCTCTCGGTGCTACCACTGGTGCCTCATCCCTGTTGATACTTCTTCAGGTCATGGTTTTGCTATTTAAGTCCAATCGGCTAACTCTGGCCACACCCCACTGTAGCCCTTGGAGCTAAACTTATTTTTCTGGCTTTGTAGATCATCTGTAGTCTGATAATTCTTCACCTTATTTCACAGAGGCCACCAACCCTAGTTCTGTAGTCAAAATATTCACTGAACATTCCACATTGTCTACCATCCACAGGCATCTGGGTTCTGAGCACACTGGAATGGTCTCGTCAAAAATAAATTCAGCCTCCCTCACCCTCTGACCCACAGACTTTAGTAAGGCGGTTTGACCTCTCAGAGTGACCATTCTCAGAAAGGTTCCGTCCCTCAGCCACCTCCTATGAAATGATTAGGGTGGAAGGGGTAGGAGGTTGTATAGGTCTGTTCAGGATTCCGTCGTGATTGTTGCTGGGCGTGGTGTATCTTTCCTTCCCTCTACAGCAACCTCAGATCAGCCTGGTTGGTACAGCCTCCATGTGGTAGCCCAGCCGAAAGGAGTTTAAGGGATTCAAACTTTAATTTTGGTCCAGTTGCCTGGATTGTTTTGTTGAAAAGATGTTGTCCTAGATCATGAAGAAAACCACGTGGTTGAGTCCACTGCTCACCAAGTGTTCCTGCAGTGGCCACGTGAGCCTAGGTGAGGGACGTAATGGGTCTTTGTAAGTTTCTTAAAAATGGCCTTGTCTCACTTGTGCCTGACTCTTCCAGATGAAAGGTGTGGGTGTAAAGAGAGGATGAGTAGAAAATAGGTGAAATTGTGGGTATTGGGATGGGACACATTGATTTCATGGCGACTGACCTTAAGCTCTGGAAGGTGTTGGAAGGGGAAAAATTGTTTTCTTTGATCCTGGATTCAGCACGGCACCCTGCCAAAACAGTCATATTGTTTGCCTGAGTCGACCAGCAGCTGTGGCTGACAGCCTGACCTGCTGCAGGGTTTGTCATTCGCTCTGCCTGCTGTGTGAACATGGCCAGTCATGAGCTATCAGTTGTGCCGGGCCCCTATCAGTGGCAGCTCCTAAGCATAGATCCCTCCTTCCCCCCAGTTCGCGTATAAATATGTGGGCTGGCACAGCCTTCTTTTAATCTTAGTGATACAAATTTATACATACTCTGTCCTCTGAGAGCAGCCTTGGGTTAGGCCATGTATGGTGGTCGGTGCTGCAGCTGCTAGGTACAAGTTTAACAATTTTGGAAGTGGAGTGACGTGTGCCATTCTGAGGTTATATGTTTGTATTTCAGGAAGGTAGGCACAAAATGTTTCCACTGGGGTTAGGGGTTGCTTTCTTGGCCCATTTTTTGGCCCTAGTAGATACTTGCAGTGACAGCAGAGATCAGCAGGTTGGTATGGACTCCCTGTGCAGGTTGTAAGAGATAATAGGTGGACCTTAGACGCCTGCTGTCTGTCTGAAATGACATGCTGCTCCCCTGGGGACTTATTCACAGTTGGCTGGCTCTAGTACCCTGTGGGTGTGGTCCAGATTAATACTGCAGATGGGCCCTGTTCTGCTGCTTGCAGTCTTGTTGATAGTGGCCTTCATTAAATGCTGTATGAGACAGATTGAGCACGTTTAATCCCATCTCCTGTTGGTTATCAGAATGGTGGATGAGTGGCATAGTCAGAAGCATTTGAGTTTGGTCAAGAATTTGTCAGGCCCAGGGGTGGATTGTTGGGAGAGGTGTTCTGCCACAGCCTTGGGTGCCCTCTGGGTGTGGCACGACTGAGGACTCGACTGCTCTGTACCCGGCCACTTCCCAGGGTTGTGTGCCGCAGACGACTCGGAGGGATGAGCTAATGTCTCCCCCGGGACAAAGAGCAGGATGTTTACCGCTTGTTATGAAATGGTGGGCTCCCCCTGCTCAGTGTTTCTTAGCTGTGGTGCATACCCTTGGCATGTGTGGCCATCTCACGGATCCTTTTTCATCCCCGTGGAATGTGGGGGCCACAGGGAGCTGATGCAGACATGCTAATTAATGCTCATTGCTGCTGGTGTGCCATGAGTAGTAAGGTTCTTTGTTTCTGACCTAGGAGTCTCATGTCTTCTGCCGGGATCTGTGAAACAGTAAAAGGCAAGCTATTATGTTGTAAGTGAGGTAAAGTCAATTCCCTAACCTGACAGAAGCTGAATGTGTATGTGTGTGTATACATACACATATATATGTATACATATACACACACATATAGAGTATGTGTGTTTTATATGCATAAATGCACATACACACAGTGTGTTGTATATAGTACATTTGTGTGTATTTGTATATGTATATATGTGTGCATGTACGTATATAGCGTTAATGTACTTTTTTCTTTTTGAGACCCTTTGTGGCACATAATTCTTGATTTATGTCACACTATCAACATGATGGTAGTTTTTTCTCATTTAAGCAAATAATGTGTTTACATACATATATACAGTAATAGGAATATTTTAATTTTTTTCCCTCTCTGTAGATATCTCTCATTCCTAAGTTTTCTTCAGTTTTCATTTTCTTTTCAGTTTTTCCAGATTAGATATTTATATATTTTTAAAGAAATAACTGATACATTTATTTATTCTACTTTTTTGTTGTTCTAATCTATTACATTTTACATTCATATTATTTTCTTCTTTTGCCTTTCGTTGAACTAAAAACTTGGGATTTTTTCCTTTTTTTAAATCATAACATTATCATTTAGGGCATCAAAGTCACCTTTCTTTCCTATAGGGTATTCTCATCCCAATTTCCTAAAAACTCCTTTTCTTTCCCTGTTAGGGGCAGAAGGGAGAATGTTATACTCATTTACGATGGTGATGACTACTGTCTCTTTCTCCCAAATAAATGACATTTTAGTGCAATATCTGTCAAGTTTGGGACAGATTCAGAGTATGAATCTTTGAACAATGGAACAGGTGGTAGGAAAGAGACAAAGAATCATACTATCATTTCTTTTTGGCTAGTATGTTGTTGTATTTCAACAGGTAAGGTGTATTACGTTTTAAGTAGTAAGACATCAGTTATGATTCTAAGTTAAACTTCATAGATTTTTATAATTAGTGGATTTTGCTCCCAAATTATAGTATAAAGTTATTATTAGTTTTCAGCTTCATTAAGAGATACCTTAGAATCTTCTCCCACTGAATTATACTTCCCTACATGCCTTACATATAAATGGTATGAATACAGGTATATGCTTTGTCACTGTGGAGCAGGACCCATGCATATAGTGTGTTGTGTTCCCACCTGACACATGCTCAGTACTTATCAAATGAATGATACCATAGTTAAATGAACAAGTATATTTAATCATCCCACCCCTTGTGATGGATGTAAGGCATTTTATATTTTTCCTCTACTGTAAATAATATCTAGTTGAATGTCCATGTATGTATATTTTTATATATACGTATCTTTATATAGTTATCTTGGTATTATCTTAGATAAATTTCTAAAACTAGAATCAATAGGTAAATAAGTGTATGCATTTAAAATTGGTACATACTTCAAAATTGTTCTTCAGAAAGCTGGCCATATTTCATACTTTATTTCTAGCATTTTCACCAATGCTAATTTGTATTATTTCCCTTTGTAATCTTAGTCAAATCAAGAAATGAAATTTTCTATTTTTAAATGTAATCTGTTCAGTTTTTAAAGACTGTTTTCCCTCTTACCCAGTAATTCCCCATGTGTGTAGTGTAATTTTTTTAACCTGTGAAATATCCATGTGGTTTCTGAATTAATTAAAAAAGCAAATTTCAGAAGGTACATGTATTAGGGTATAGGGACATGGTCGCTACTGCAGGCTCTTGAACAAATGGTGTATGAGCCCTTACCTTTGTCTCTGGCAAATCTATTTCACTTCTGATTTTTTCTTTTATGTTCAGCCTCAAGAGTTATCTACTAGCATTGCTTCATTAGCAGCCTTTCCAATTACCAACAGTAGTAAATTATTTTAAATCATTTATCGTTAATATTAATATTAATTTCATTGTGAAGACAGACTTTACTAATATGTAAGGAATCTCGCATAGTGCCTGGCAGGTAAGGCGTCATAGTATGTTTATGATGATAGGCCAGACCATAGGACTGCTCTGTTTGTTTGATTATCCTTGGGGATTTAATGAGTTGTTATTCATATTAAGTTGTGATAATCTTTATATAATATATTTTGTTTTTTAAAGATTTGGAGCCCATTTTCAGGAAATGTGAGCTGTAGTGAAAAATTATATTCTTCTAATTGAAGAAAATATAAATTGTATTTCATTGAAAAATATGTTACCATTTATGTTATTTTGAAGATAGTGAATACAGAAGGAAAATAAAATACTTTTAACACTCAATTTTGGGTTAACCACATTTACTTTTTTCATTTCTGTCATTTAGAAGTTATGTGCACAAAGTGACTACAGGAACTTTAAAGTCTTTTCTGTGATTTTTCTGTGTGTGTGTTTGTGTGTATATATGCATAAATATATATACACATTCCTGTAAATTTGATAAGCAGAAACTATAAACAGTTATGATATATTTTTCATACAGCCTTTACTTTCAGTGCTTGCTTGTGTTTTGTTTTCATTTTAGGCCCAGACCTTACCTGTTTAAAGGAGATCATACATTTCCTACAAACAAAGAGAACTTACCAGTGATTATCCTGTATGCAGAAATGGGTACCAGAGCATTTCATAAATTTCACACAGTATTGTTGGAAAAAGCTCAAAATGGGGAAATTCTTTATGTTCTCCGGCATTATATTCAGGTACATGTTTGTTTTATCTAAGATTATTTTGGCTATTAAAAATACATTTTATGAAAATTTTCCTTCTAAATTTTACATAATAATTTCCACTAGAATAGTTAAAGATATTTTAAAATTAACAACTGTCAAGTGTGAGTTTTATGTGGAAAAATGTATTGTGATCCCATGTCTTTTCTGGGAGTATCATGTTTATATTTTTTTTCCTTATTTCTCTGAAACAGATTAAAAATTTGGGTAAAAACAAAAGCATACTGCAATAGCATGCATAATATTTTGCTAGGACTCATAAATAGAGTTATTTTTAATGAAAATGGATTACAGTGAGGAAATCTAATTTACTTGGTATGTTGATAGTATGCATGTATTAGTTCAAAGTGCTAAGCATGATATAGGAATGCTCTTAAACCTATTTGTGTGAACAGCTGACTACTTTCTTATTCAAGTTTCACATCAGATGTGTTGTGTTATCTCTCATTGTTACCACACTGTTCTGTTTTAATGACTTCATAGCACTTATTACAGTACTATCTCAAATTTTATTTCTTTAGTACCTCCACTCTACCATCAGCACACACATAGACACAGACACAACCAAACTCTCACATGCACGCACTAGAGTATAATGGCCATGAGAGGAAGGGCCTTGCTTCTTTACTGTTACATTCCCAACATGGAAAGAATGATTTAATTTGCATTTTCCAAAATATTAATGATACATATTAAAGTTTAAAGTAGTAAAAGCCGTAGAAATATACTTGATTGCCTATCTATATCCTTTGCTTGTTTTTATATTGGATTCTTTGGGATTCCCCCCCATTTACATATTTTTAAAAACATATCCTGAATACTAATCTTTTCGTCCATATCTGAGAAATATCGTATTTCTCAGTTATATATGGAATGTAAAAAAAAAAAAAAAACAAAAAGCCAAACCCATAGAAACAAGGAAGTGATTGGTGGCTGCCGAAGTTGGGGTTGGGGGAGGTTAATGGGTGAAGGTGCTCAAAAGGCACAAGCTTCCAGATATAAACAAGTTCTGGGGATGAAATGTACAGCATGACAACTATAGTTAACAATAGTGTATATTTGGAAGTTGCTAAGAGAGTAGATCTTAAAGTTCTCATTACAAGGGAAAAAAAACCCATAGCTATGCGAGGTATGGATGTTAACTAAATTTACTGTGGTAATCATTTCATAATGTAGTTGACCCTTGAAGAACTTGGAAGTTGGAGCACCAACACTCCACGCTTTGTAAATCCTCCTTTAGTTTATAGTTGGTCCTGCATATATACAAGCTTCTTCCTTATCTGTGGTTCTGCATCTGCAGATTCAGCCAACCACAGATTGTGTAATAGTGTAGTGTTTACTAGTGAAAAAAATCCATGTGTAAGTGGACCATCACAGTTTACACAGTTCAAAAACCTGTGTTGTTCAAGGGTCAACTCTGTATACATATATCTAATCGTTATGTTGTACACCTCAAACTAATACAGTGTTATGTATCAATCATATCAGAAAAGGAATGGGAGATCAAAGTATATATCATTTTAAAAAATATTCCCAGGTGATTTTAACATGCCCCCACCCCCCAGTATGGTATGCTCATCTACTGAGAATCAGTGTCCCAAGTTATTCTTTGGAGAATGTGACCATTAAATATACTTCTGTGAAAGCATACTCACCAACTATCTGGGTACTCTGTAGCATCAAATTATAGCCTTCTGTTTAATTAATGACATGTTGTACATTCAAAATAGTTACACTGTAATCTAGTCAACATGTAATTCCAATAAAAAATAGACTTATTTGTGCTACCTATTGAACAGATGACTTTTTGGGTGGAAAGAAGAAATAGGATAATGAAGAAAGATTCTTTTCACCAGTTGATTTAGCCTATGAGCATTTTTGGTTTACAAATCCAAAGCTATTAAACTACAATTCAAATTTTATATTAATACATTTTCAAATAGAGAAAGTAAATATGAATTTAATAAACATATCTTTATTACTGAGGAGCTAATAACATTCCAGAACTGATAATGGAAATTGGTTATGTGAAATTGCATTTCTTTTATGAACTGTAACAAAATATGTGGGCTTAGCGCTTCAATTTGCTTCACCACCAACTGATTGTCTTTTCAGTGTAGAGTCAAAAATGTATTTTTAAATTGAGCTGTATGAAATTGAAAACTCTTTAAAAGATTTTCAACTTTGTCAGGTTACTAAAATTATAAACAACCCAATTTCCTCATGCTATCTTTCATTATAGCATGTGCCTGGGAAATTAGCAAATTAAATTTTAGCGTAGGCAGCAACGTTAAACACTTGTCTGCATGTCTGAAACTAATTCTTACATCATCTTCCTTGGAAATAGAACCATCCAGAAATAGTCACTCTGGTTGTATACTTATTTTTAAGGCTGAGGGAGAAGTTGAGGGAGGGAAGGAGAGAATAAAAGTTAATACACTATTAGGGTTCTCCTTGCGTTTGATCTCTGCCTCTTCCTCTCGTGTGCAGGATTGCAAAGCTGCTCTCATGTAAACCTTCTTTAAGCAAAGATACGTAGCATCGTCACAGGAGTTTGCTGAGTACTAGTAAAACTGGTTTCCTGACCCGTGAAAGAATATGCCAAATGATAATGATTATAGCACAACTCATAAGAATTTCAGTTTAGAAGCTAGAAGTAACCTTAGACATCTTCTGAAGCATTACATATACTCATCCATGTTGTTTACTTTTTGAAAAAATGTGACTTCTCTTCCTTGACAGGATAACTCTAGACGTACATACTGTATTTGTCCTTTATAGAAAGGGGAAGATAAGGTACCAAATTCTGATCACACATACTGCAGACAAGGCAAATTGTTATCTCTCATTGCAAGAATGGGTATTAATTTGTGGCCTTTGGTATAGTTTAATCATTGAGAAACAAAGAATTAATGAGGTTCTTTAAGGCACTCAGTTTTGTTTTTTCTTTTTGTCTCCTTTACCTCTATTTTCCAGTAATTGACAACATTCTAGTTGTCCTACAGCCAGACAGCTAAGAAATGAATAGCATTTACTGGTTTACCAAATCTTGTGTAGTTTCCCAGAAAGAGTACAGTTTTGCTGAAACTTGATTGCATTGGCTTCTCTATTTATTAACTCATGGGAAGTATGGGAAAGTTGCCATGGTATAACAGAAAAAGATCTGATTTTTTTTTCATTGTAAAAGAGTAATTAAAACAGTAGAGTCATGACAGAGTGTTTAGAAAGTAAAGAAGTGGTCATCAACCAAATTCTAGCTCCTTGATTGTCTAGAGAGAGTATAAATATCCCCCAAATAATTGTATTTCACAGTGATTATGAAACTTCAGCATTGGTAATTTACCCTTATGTCCTTATACACGTAACACTGAATTCAAAAGCAGATGTTTGACTAAATATTTTATTTTTTTTTAATACTGTGTTTGAACAGAAACCATCCTCACAGAAAATGTACTTATCTGGCTATGGTGTGGAGCTAGCAATTAAGAGTACAGAATACAAAGCGTTGGATGATACCCAAGTCAAAAGTAAGTTTATTCTCTGTATTTGAGTAGAATAAAAATTTGGAGGCTTACATACTTCATGTAAAAAAACAATGACTGTAATCCTATATGCCTTAATTCAAGGCTGGAGGTGGGATTAGACATGTTCCTCTCTAGTTGGAATTTAATTTTAAGTGAAAATAAATATATTTAATATTATTGCCCTTTCAAAAATGTCTTCAGAAATTGAGAGTAACATATTATTTTGCTTATACCCAAATGGCTTCCCAACCACTTTTTGCAACATATAAAAATTGATGATATGTGTAGGTTACACGGAGGCAATAGGTGTGAGGCTGCTTATGGCTAGAGGTAACTGACCCAGGAGCTCAGAAGGGCCAGTGATGTGCCCAGTCACCCCCTGGAGGCAAGGGCGGGAAGGCTAAGGGGGCCAGTGTCTCAGTAACCCTAAAACCCGTTGGTAACACTGCCTTACAAAGCTTAGTCTGAAGTATTTATTCACAGAGAAGTTAGGATGATGGTGTTGTGTTTCTGTTTCCTTTTGAAGTGGAATGGGAGAGGACAGTGGATTGTTAGAATGAAGTACATGATTAGATTTGTGGTCTAGAAATCAACACCCGTCTGTGTTCTGTGTGCTAAATGCATGCTCTAGATGAAGGACTGCTGAAGACCTAAAAACATCAAGGACTTTTCAGATTCTTATGGAAATCTTTTATTACTTGGCTCATTGGAGATTTATTTATACCTGATTCTGGGTAAAGAGTTTCTAACTCATTCTTTTATATGCTCTTGGATGTGGCTCTACTTCAACTTTGTTTTTATATCCAGGATCTAGTGCTGGAGGCCCTGCCCTGATTATGACCTAGCTCTAGCCACTTCCACTGAATGTGCTACAAATAAACATCTGTATTATTGTGATTTAAATCCTGCTGGTTAAAGAGTTACTGAAAAAGTACAGCACAAATAATAATGTCCAGATTTAAATATTTCCACATAGCTTCTATATAGCTCTGCGTGATTTATGATTTAGTCTTTCATTTAATAGTCGTGGTAGTAACTTAAGGCATTTTCTAGCTATCCTTGGGCTTGTAGAATTTTCTTTAAAAGTCGTGTGATCATATGTGTTACCTATGTTACAAATTGCACACTAAATTTTGTCTTATATTTGGAATGTATCTTCTCTCCATTCTGGTTGCCACTCCTTTAGTTCAGTTCTTTTTTTTCCCCTCCGTATGTGTGTATCAGGCTTCTAACTGACCTTCTCTCTGATCTTTGGTCTTCAGTGCACCTAGTCCCCTCGTCCCCAAAATAGAACGATCAATTTGTTGTCCACAGTGCTGTCTGATTGAACCTCTTATGATGAAAATCTGACATTGTGACTCCACTGATGAAAATCCTGTACTGATTCCCTGCAGCTTCCCTCCTAAATTCAAGCACTTAGCAGAGCAGAGAAAGCTTTTCACCCTCTGGCCTCTTTCTGCCTCATCACTGTCCCTCAGCCCTCTCATTTGTACCCTGTGCTCCTGTAACACTAAACTACTGTACAGAATAATTTTCTGTTCCCTGAATGCCTCCTTGTTTGGCTCCATGCCTAGCCTTTATGACCTCTATAGAATACTTTCATTCCTTAGCATACACTCTTCCTTCTGCCTGAACCCTTCTTTCTCCCACCTCTTTTATTCATCTAAAGCCAACTCATCTGGTAAGACTCATGTATCAGTCAGTACCTCTGAGATGGCTCCCTGTCTTCCTGCTCTGTCAGAGGAGGGTTTTCCCTTTTCTGTATTCCACATATTCTGTGCTTTCTTTCAGAAAAGTTTTAAACAGTCTGTGAAAATTGTCTGTCTGCTTTTCCACCAAGTGAAGTATCTTTTGCATCTCACTTCCAGGTGTCTATCCAGCAGGCATCATAGAGGGAGTCAGTAAATGTTTGCCTGATGAATGAATGAAATGGAGGAGTAGGAAGACTGGATCAGAGCACTCAGGGTATTTAGTTGTGGTCCTAGCGGCCCAGATCCTCAGATGAGTGGAGGAGAGAAGTATATTTGATGAGCTCTAGTACGTACTGATTGAGCACAGCCCCACGCTGTAAGAGGTCACAGATTCTCAGAATCCCAACGTACCCTCACACATACCACTTACCACACTATGTACTGTAATTATTTATTAACTAAAGGAGAGGGGAAGGGGAAGAGAAAGAAACATAAAATATACCTTTATCCTTTGAGGCCATGAGTTTTGCTGTCTTTCTAAAGATTTCTTCATTATGTCTAAAGGTGTCAGAAACATGCAAGAACTCCTGTATCTGTTAGGATTTAGATCTCTTTCTGACTTAAGAGCTAAGCCCGGGGTTTGTTGCAGGTCTTTTTGTTTATCATTCTGGTTATAAAACAGAACTTGACTATGAAACTATCTACAGAGCATTTATTATGGTTGTTAAGTATTTAATAATCTTGTTTAAAAAGAGAGAGCACACTGATGTATCGTTACACGGATCCATGAAAGAAAAACGAGGTAAAACAAATGGAATTTGATTTTGAGTTCTTCTAATTTATAATTACATATTCCTTTTCTAATCTGCAATGTTTTTGTTTTATTTTGTTTTTGTTTCCAAAATGTAGCTGTGACTAATGCTGGTGTAGAAGATAAGACTGAAACAAATGAAGTCCAAGGATTTCTCTTTGGGAAACTAAAGTAAGTTGAATCACAATGATGTTGTATTACTATACTCTTAATTTTGTTTTAAAGGAATTGATTCAGTATGCTGTGTTGGCCTGTGTTCCACATTTTGAAAATAGACATTGTTACAAAAGTAACACATGGTTAATGCAAAAAAAAAAAGCAGAAAATTGAAAAATAATCACTAATTCCACAGGATAATGAGTATGATTAGAGAAATGGGAATTGAAAATGATCAAAGTTGTCTCTGGCTAAAAACTGAAACAGAATTTTGTAGAATCTTTTACAGATCCTCATGGGTTACAAAGATCATGGTTAATATTAGATTTTTTAGCATGAAAAAATAAAAAATTTTAATGCCTTAAAAGAAGAGAAAATACTTAGTTTCCTAAATTTCAGTGCCACTGAGTGCCACATTAAAAATCTTTTAACATCTGGTCTTAATAATTACTTGTACATACATGTACAAGTAACTTCAAAAATTAAAGTTCTGCCCCTTTTCTTTCCCGCATCACTGACTGAAGACAAGGAATGGAATGGTGAGTGCTCTCTGAATGTTGATGGATGGGGACTGTCGCAGTTTTGTGTGTAGTTTCTCTTGGTTACAAGAAGGGAAAGTTTATGATTCCCTTGTAAAGGTAAAATTAATTGAAAATAAAGAACTGTTTCTGTTAATATCTTTGGCTCTTATTTAGTACTAGCAGTACCTATATAGGACACTGAGGTCACTTCTCTGGGAGTAGATCATATCTTGGAATCTATAATTCTATTCTTTTTTTAAACATAACTATTTAGGAAAATAAATTGCATGTCCTCCAAAAAGCTGTTGGAACCCTGGAATATTAGTTTTTTTAAAGAGGAAATACTCAAAGTTAGTTATTTACACAATTAATTGACTTAGGCAGAAACCTTTCTTTCGCTTTGAGATATTGTGTGATAATGTATTTTTGCCTGAATTACATAAATAATTTTAGCAGTGAAGACTATCATTAAGCTTATAAAGAACAATGTAACAACTCTTACAAACTTAATATTACTCTGTAACTGAAAATACTGAGAAAGGAAGGGTTAATCTAATTTGTAGTGAACTTATTTTCAAATAAGTTCTGTTGCTTTGTCACTATAAAAGCAGTCTTGATTCATTTTCAAAATGTGGTCCCGCATTGTAATAAAATTGCAAAATATTGAAACTGTAGTACATTTATTTATTTTAACTGTAAAATTAACCTATTTCTGTGTATATGTTCTGTATATTTTTCATTTCACTTTTTAAAATATTCATTTCTCTTTACTGTTGAAACTGTTTTACTTAGTGTGCTGGTAGCTAGATAAAGTTTTTTCGGAAAATAATTCTGTCTAATAATATTAACTGGCACTATGTCTTGATTTCATGAGGGAAGAAAGAAGATTATAGTTTTTGTTGTACGTATAGTAAATGTCATCTACTATATTGTTATTTAGCACTCTCTGAAAGATACCTAGATATGTTTAATTAGGCAAAATTATCTCAAGCTTTTTATAAGTTTCAAAGAAATAGAGTAAACTCTAAAATTGTATAGAAAGCATTGGTGTCTTTCCTTATAAAATAGTTTTTGTTTTTAACTATAAATGCAATACTTGTAATTTATAAAGTGTTAAAATAAAAAGTATATAACATAAAAACTAATAATTCTGCCCTCACCCTTGGGTCCCTTATAGGTAGTGTTAACAAATGAGAGCACATCCCCCCAGGTTTGGTTTTGTTTTATACATTGAAAAAGGTAGACATGCATATCTCCCTCATCTTCAAGTTCTGTGGATATAGCTACATCACTCTTTATTATTAACTTGATAAACAATTAGTTTGTGTCTAAGTATTTGGAGGAGTTAATTACAAAAATATGCTGCTTGTATTGTAATTTGTAGCAGGTGATGATAATTAACATTACTTAATATTCTAATACAGAGAAAGATACTCAGATCTTAGAGATAATCTGACAACATTCCAAAAATACCTGATTGAGAGTAATAAAGAAATGATGCCTTTGAAAGTCTGGGAACTGCAAGGTACAGTATTTTGGTCTACTTTAACATGGCATATTGGTAACTGAGCTCTGTTTTGTTAAATAGGCTTTTAAATAATGTGATATTAATTATTTCATAGACAATAATAATTACTAATGATGTGACTAATGTAAATTATTCCATTACTTTTTGTAGAAATACAAATTTAATTAAAAGGTTATTCATCAAACAAATCATATTTTTATGTTTATAAAATTTAACATTATATAAAGTGCGCTTAACTGATAACTCGTGTGTGTTTAAAGCATACATGAGTTACAGGTTTAGCTCAAGTATTAAATCACATTTCAGAGAATCTGTAGCTCTGGTTAAAAATCCTAATCAGGAGAAATTCGAACAAAGTCTTAATTTTTTTCTCTTTAAAATTTTGATCTTAACAGACCATTGCCTGTTTCACTGTGAGCTTAAAATAGCTTCTGTACTGACATCCTATAAGCAGATACTTTGAGACCAAAATTTAGTTTGAACTATAATTCCTCTTCAGCTTGTAATTTTCTTTTTTATTATTTTTAAAAATTTTAGTAAGTCATGGAAACATGTCATTATTCTTATACTTTTATCACAACTCTCATCAAGCTTTTTTTAATATAACAGCATATTGAAATTTACTTGACATACTATAAAATTCACCCATTCAAAGTGTACCATTCAGTGCATTTTAGTATATTTTTTAGAGCTCTTTAACTGTCATCAGTCAGTTTTAGAGTATTTTCATCACCCCCAAAAAGAAATTAACATACCCATAGACAGGTACTCCCCAACTTCTCCAGCTGTAGACAAGCAACAGTCTACTTTCTTCTTCAAAATATTCTCTAAGGGACCCATAATTTAGAAAATTTTACGTGGAAGGGTACTTTGGAAGGCTTGTAAACAGAACATGCATACTTAGCTTAGTTTGAATTAATCTCCCTGATGTCTATATAAGATATATTTGAATGGATTAGAAACAGGAAATCTAGTTAAGACATCACTGAATTAGTATAATGTAAGATTGGACTATGTCTGTGGTAGAAGGCATAGAAAGGAAGGCTGAATTTAGCAAATATTTAGACGATACAGAATCAAAGATGACTTTAAAATTTCCAGCTTTGAACTCGAGTTAGAGAGAATATAAAATATGTAAGTAAGTTTGGGGGTTGAATATGAGGCCCAGAAATAAAGAGACTGGCCTTAAAAAGATGGATGTGTAGTGATTAAAAGGAGAGCATTTAAATGTTGAAAATCTTAGCATAAAGGTTTTAAAACGGAGAAGCTGAAACGTTAGTGACCAAATCAGTGCACAAGGGAGGGTGCTGTGGTGCTCATGCGCTCATGGAGAGTAGACGTGGTGGAATGATGGGAAATGGAGAGCACCGTACAGAAGCCAAAGGAAATAGATTCAGGAAAGAGGACGTGATAGTACTTTTTCTTTTTCTTTTCTTTTTCTTTTTTGATTGATTTAACAAGTATTTATTGAAAATCTACTTGGTGTCAGTCATAGCCCTACAACTATGGTTTTAAATTTTGGGCTGAGACTTACGGTAGGATATATATTTTACGTCAAGACCCATAAGCAGATGTATAACGTACGAGTACATAGATATGCTGAAAACTAAAAAAAGCTTCAGCATAGATATGTATGTTTACTATATTTTATACGTTCTGATAAAACTTTCTTTTATTCTGCCCTATTTCATTCGAGAAAACTTCACATTACCCGTTAATCTGATTTCACTGCTAACTAATGGGTTCCAATT